TGGTCCAGTGAACACCCACAGTACCGCTGCCTGGTCCAGTGAACACCCACAGTACCGCTGCCTGGTCCAGTGAACACCCACAGTACCGCTGCCTGGTCCAGTGTACACCCACAGTACTGCTGCCTGGTCCAGTTTACACCTACAGTACCGCTGCCTGGTACAGTGTACACCTACAGTACCGCTGCCTGGTCCAGTTTACACTTCCAGTACCGCTGCCTGGTCCAGTTTACACTTCCAGTACCGCTGCCTGGTCCAGTTTACACTTCCAGTACCGCTGCCTGGTCCAGTGTACACCCACAGTACCGCTGCCTGGTACAGTGTACACCCACAGTACCGCTGCCTGGTCCAGTGTACACCCACAGTACCGCTGCCTGGTACAGTGTACACCCACAGTACCGCTGCCTGGTCCAGTGAACACCCACAGTACCGCTGCCTGGTCCAGTGTACACCCACAGTACCGCTGCCTGGTCCAGTGAACACCCACAGTACCGCTGCCTGGTCCAGTGAACACCCACAGTACCGCTGCCTGGTCCAGTGAACACCCACAGTACCGCTGCCTGGTCCAGTGAACACCCACAGTACCGCTGCCTGGTCCAGTGAACACCCACAGTACCGCTGCCTGGTCCAGTGAACACCCACAGTACCGCTGCCTGGTCCAGTGAACACCCACAGTACCGCTGCCTGGTCCAGTGAACACCCACAGTACCGCTGCCTGGTCCAGTGAACACCCACAGTACCGCTGCCTGGTCCAGTGTACACCCACAGTACCGCTGCCTGGTCCAGTGTACACCCACAGTACCGCTGCCTGGTACAGGTACACCCACAGTACCGCTGCCTGGTACAGGTACACCCACAGTACCGCTGCCTGGTACAGTGTACACCCACAGTACCGCTGCCTGGTACAGGTACACCCACAGTACCGCTGCCTGGTACAGGTACACCCACAGTACCGCTGCCTGGTACAGTGTACACCCACAGTACAGTGTACACCCACAGTACCGCTGCCTGGTACAGTGTACACCCACAGTACCTGGCTGCCTGCCTGGTCCAGTGTACACCCACAGTACCGCTGCCTGGTACAGTGTACACCCACAGTACCGCTGCCTGGTCCAGTGTACATCCACAGTAATGCTGCCTGGTCCAGTGAACACCCACAGTACCGCTGCCTGGTACAGTGTACACCCACAGTACCGCTGCCTGGTACAGTGTACACCCACAGTACCGCTGCCTGGTACAGTGTACACCCACAGTACCGCTGCCTGGTACAGGTACACCCACAGTACCGCTGCCTGGTACAGTGTACACCCACAGTACCGCTGCCTGGTCCAGTGTACACCCACAGTACCGCTGCCTGGTACAGTGTACACCCACAGTACCGCTGCCTGGTCCAGTGTACAGTACTGCTGCCTGGTGTACACCCACAGTACCGCTGCCTGGTCCAGTGTACACCCACAGTACCGCTGCCTGGTACAGTGTACACCCACAGTACCGCTGCCTGGTCCAGTGTACACCCACAGTACGCTGCCTGGTACAGTGTACACCCACAGTACTGCTGCCTGGTACAGTGTACACCCACAGTACTGCTGCCTGGTACAGTGTACACCCACAGTACCGCCTGGTCCAGTGTACACCCACAGTACCGCTGCCTGGTACAGTGTACACCCACAGTACCGCTGCCTGGTACAGTGTACACCCACAGTACCGCTGCCTGGTACAGTGTACACCCACAGTACCGCTGCCTGGTTGCAGTTGCCTTCTGCCTCCAGTTGAGTGACAGTTGAGAGGCGGGACCAAAGAGCCAGAGCTCAACCCCAACAAGAATAACTAGGCGAGTACCTCAACCCATCTTCTCAACTAATACCTCATTTTGTACGTTAAAGTCCCCCAACGTACAAATTACAATCTACTAAAAAAAGTAGCGGCTCACATGTATCCACGTTTTCTATATATATAGGTTGGGTTGGGTTGGTTAGGTTGGGGGGGGGGGGGGGCTGGGTTTGTGCGTGTCTGGTTAGGTTAGCACTTTGTACGTTGTGGTAAGTCAAGACACACACACGCGTGGAGCTTTGGGGGGGGGGGGGCTAAATAGCCCCTCAAGTGCTAAATAGATCAATTTTGCTGATACAAATATTAAGTACACACACACACACGCAAAAGACAGGCTATTTAACACTAGGGTACACAGGTGGAAAGTGAGTGGCCAAATGAGCCATAGAGATATTAGAAAGAACTTTTTTAGTGTCAGAGTGGTTGACAAATGGAATGCATTAGGAAGTGATGTGGTGGAGGTTGACTCCATACACAGTTTCAAGTGTAGATATGATAGAGCCCAGTAGGCTCAGGAACCTGTACACCTGTTGATTGACGGTTGAGAGGCGGGACCAAAGAGCCAGAGCTCAAACCCCGCAAACACAACTAGGTGAGTACACACACACACACTGGCAGATATAATAAGAGGAGAAATCGATTGGTTAGAAAGGCGGGGTCCAAGAGCTAATTGCTCGATCCTGCAGATACAAAGAGTGAATGTTATTGTGTTACACCACCGGGTCACCACCACCCACCTATCAAAGGCCGAACCATATAGAACGTAAATATTACGTTGCATTTTGACCAGACTGGTGGAGGAGGTACTAGGCGAGAGCCGCCCAGTACCCTCCTGGCGTGTACTAGGCGATCCCGGGCGTGCCGTCCCGGGCCACCAGTAATATCCTGACTGTTCGCGTGGTGTAACAACTCTCTTGACCACAAAGCTTCAAACACACACACACGTCAAGACTCCGGCAATCTCCGGGTGGTGTTGACAAAGTGGTCAGCTGACTCAGTTGGGAAGGGGGTGGGGGGTTGTGGGGGGTTAAGGGGGTGGGGTGATGCACGAGGTGCACGTAGTAGTGGTTCGGTGGGTGGTGGTGTATTTGTTATTGGGGAGGAGGGAGGGGGATGCTCGGGGATAGAGGGGATGCTGGGGGATAGCGCCGGGAAGGTCACCCTCGCTACCAAACGACCTTGAGGAGGTCGCCGCGGCGCTCCTAGCCTGCTCTCCCCAGTAATGCTGTCCTGACGGCCACAGCCCGCCCCCCTCACCAGGGGCTGAGGGCCACAGCCCGCCCCCCTCACCAGGGGCTGAGGGCCACAGCCCGCCCCCCTCACCAGGGGCTGAGGGCCACAGCCCGCCCCCCTCACCAGGGGCTGAGGGCCACAGCCCGCCCCCTCACCAGGGGCTGAGGGCCACAGCCCGCCCCCTCACCAGGGGCTGAGGGCCACAGCCCGCCCCCCTCACCAGGGGCTGAAGCGTGTATACCCACTCTTCCACACAAACCTGTACACCATACATCAACAGTTTAGAGGCGGGACCAAAGAGCCGAAGCTTAACTTCCGCAGGCACAATTAGGTGAGAAGTGGCCGAGTGCTCTATCCTCACCATCACCCCCCCCCTCCCCATTCATCACCTCCCCCCCCCCATTCATCGCTCACGGCCACTTTCATCACCTGCCGTCTTTATACTCATTCCAATTCACCTTACTCATCAGCAGGCCGCCCACAAATCCCTCCATGATTCATCTCCGTCTCCCTGACCCATTGAAGACGAGTCCCTGCTTGCCCTACCCTCCAGGACCAGTCGAGTGGTGCGACACTCCAGGGAGTGTGCTGACCAGGCCTATCCATCTACCAGGCCTATCCTTCTTCCGGGCCTATCTGTCTCGCATTGTCTATATATTTACGATTCCTTCCATCCGTCCAATCCTAATTCCTGATTCCTTCCAAGTGCTATATAAAGGAGTCGTAATGGCTCGGCGCTTTCTCCTGAGAGTTCCCTTCCCTTGAGTGCAAGAGACTGGAGCAACAGCTGAAGGCAGAGAGAGTGCACTCACTTGAGCGACAGCAGTGACATGGTGCACGTGTCCTCACCGTATGAACTCGTCTTTGGTTCACTAACAACATTTTGTGGTGTTCCGAGGCGAAACTGAACTATTTTGTACTGTTCCGGGTAGTGTTCTGATCAGTCCAGAACCTTGCACAGGGAACACCACGCCAGCAGGGAACTCCACGTGGGAGGACGGAAGACTGAAGAATGCTTTGTCATCACCACCAGCTGACGGAGGGAGATGCTTGCCACCAGAGATACCTAGATCACCATCCGGGAGCTTGGTCACCCCCCCCACCCCCCCCCACACACACACACACACCATTTAACAACCATCCACACATGTGCACCCACTAATCATATGGACCTGTATGACTAACCATCCTGTGTGATGGGGATGTTTAGCATCTCGTAGCTATAGTTCTTGACACACACTGTACTTCTCTTTGTATAGTCTAAGGTAGACTGTGTACCTAAATGTGTTAGTAAGGTTATATATACATTAAGAGTCGCAAGATGAAGATGGTTTTAAAGGCAAGATTATTATCACGAGACGAGTCGATCATTCTGAAGACTCTGCAACCCAACATCCTGCAGGTCCGTCAGTGAATCATATTGCCCCCCCCCCCTCTAGCACCTCATCCCCCCCCCTCTCCTCAGCATCCCCCCTACCCTCATTCTCAGAGATCTCTAACTCTATACAAACAGTAGTCACACTAACATGATGCATCAATGAAAAACTCCGTAGCAGCCGTGGTGAGGATTCGAATGTATGGGGTGGGTAGCGCCCACGCCCCAGACCACGACACGGTCAAAAAAGGATTTCTAAACGCAGATGCTCTCTACCTGTCTCTCCCAGGCCACATCTTTCCCAGTATGACGACCACAGAGCCGCCATTGCGTCACAGGTAGGTGTGGAGAGTGGCCCCACACACACACCTGCTACCTGTGTGTGCAGAGATGTTCGTCTTCTGAGTCATTAGAGTCCCGGAGATGGTGATTAGTGGCGTAGGTGGTTGTGCTCGAGGGAAGGGAGGGGGGAGCTGAAGATGGAGGGGGGGGGGGTGCTGGAGATGGAGGGGGAGGTGATGGTGGAGGGGGATGGTAGTGATCACCACCAATATTTCCTATTATATCAGTCACGGGAGAGCCAAACACTGCTTGGGATTTTGAACACCGATTCACAACAACGCATCAACGCTACTTTTGTGGGTAGAGGACGACCTTGGCCGCCGGTGGCGCCCCCCAGGACGACCTTGGCCGCCGGTGGCGCCCCCCAGGACGACCTTGGCCGCCGGTGGCGCCCCCCAGGACGACCTTGGCCGCCGGTGGCGCCCCCAGGACGACCTTGGCCGCCGGTGGCGCCCCCCAGGACGACCTTGGCCGCCGCTGGCGCCCCCCAGGACGACCTTGGCCGCCGCTGGCGCCCCCCAGGACGACCTTGGCCGCCGCTGGCGCCCCCCAGGACGACCTTGGCCGCCGCTGGCGCCCCCCAGGACGACCTTGGCCGCCGCTGGCGCCCCCCAGGACGACCTTGGCCGCCGCTGGCGCCCCCCAGGACGACCTTGGCCGCCGCTGGCGCCCCCCAGGACGACCTTGGCCGCCGCTGGCGCCCCCCAGGACGACCTTGGCCGCCGCTGGCGCCCCCCAGGACGACCTTGGCCGCCGCTGGCGCCCCCCAGGACGACCTTGGCCGCCGCTGGCGCCCCCCAGGACGACCTTGGCCGCCGCTGGCGCCCCCCAGGACGACCTTGGCCGCCGCTGGCGCCCCCCAGGACGACCTTGGCCGCCGCTGGCGCCCCCCAGGACGACCTTGGCCGCCGCTGGCGCCCCCCAGGACGACCTTGGCCGCCGCTGGCGCCCCCCAGGACGACCTTGGCCGCCGCTGGCGCCCCCCAGGACGACCTTGGCCGCCGCTGGCGCCCCCCAGGACGACCTTGGCCGCCGCTGGCGCCCCCCAGGACGACCTTGGCCGCCGCTGGCGCCCCCCAGGACGACCTTGGCCGCCGCTGGCGCCCCCCAGGACGACCTTGGCCGCCGCTGGCGCCCCCCAGGACGACCTTGGCCGCCGCTGGCGCCCCCCAGGACGACCTTGGCCGCCGCTGGCGCCCCCCAGGACGACCTTGGCCGCCGCTGGCGCCCCCCAGGACGACCTTGGCCGCCGCTGGCGCCCCCCAGGACGACCTTGGCCGCCGCTGGCGCCCCCCAGGACGACCTTGGCCGCCGCTGGCGCCCCCCAGGACGACCTTGGCCGTTGCTGGCGCCCCCCAGGACGACCTTGGCCGCCGCTGGCGCCCCCCAGGACGACCTTGGCCGCCGCTGGCGCCCCCCAGGACGACCTTGGCCGCCGCTGGCGCCCCCCAGGACGACCTTGGCCGCCGCTGGCGCCCCCCAGGACGACCTTGGCCGCCGCTGGCGCCCCCCAGGACGACCTTGGCCGCCGCTGGCGCCCCCCAGGACGACCTTGGCCGCCGCTGGCGCCCCCAGGACGACCTTGGCCGCCGCTGGCGCCCCCCAGGACGACCTTGGCCGCCGCTGGCGCCCCCCAGGACGACCTTGGCCGCCGCTGGCGCCCCCCAGGACGACCTTGGCCGCCGCTGGCGCCCCCCAGGACGACCTTGGCCGCCGCTGGCGCCCCCCAGGACGACCTTGGCCGCCGCTGGCGCCCCCCAGGACGACCTTGGCCGCCGCTGGCGCCCCCCAGGACGACCTTGGCCGCCGCTGGCGCCCCCCAGGACGACCTTGGCCGCCGCTGGCGCCCCCCAGGACGACCTTGGCCGCCGGTGGCGCCCCCCAGGACGACCCTGGCCGCCGGAGACGACCCCCCAGGACGACCTTGGCCGCCGCTGGCGCCCCCCAGGACGACCTTGGCCGCCGGAGACGACCCCCCAGGACGACCCTGGCCGCCGGAGACGACCCCCCAGGACGACCTTGTGGTGGACGGAATGGTTCCAGCGACGACTTGCAGGTTAAGGTACCAAGGGACGACGAAGACGCCGCCCTCAGGAGTCGTCCCAAGACTTGACATTCCACCCAGACAACGCGGGCTTCCACGAAGGTGGCTCCGGCGGCCAGCGGCCGTGCCACACCTACACCAATTCACGGCCACTTTCCTCTCCTGCATCCTCCCCTCCCTTTTACCTCCCTCCCACCAACTCTTTCCTCTCTCAAACGCTTGCTTGCTTCTTGGAAGAGTGTCTCCCTCTCTCTCCCTGCCTCCTACCTTGCTCCCTCTACCCACACCATCTCGTTCCTTTTTTCTCTCCTTGTCCTCAGTTCTCGCTAACTCGTAGTGTGTAGGGCATTGTACCTCTAAATAATGGCTTCACCACTCTCATGGTGTCTCTCTCCACAACTCTCTCCAGCCTTCACCTCCAGCCCCACACAACCTCCACCTCCAGCCCTTACTGGCTTGGAACAGGTGTGTTGTAGAGAATGGAGTAACTGGTAGAGAATAGCGAGAGGGAGGAAGGAGGTGAGCACGTGAGTCAGGGGACGGAGGAGAGTGGCAGAGGATGGGGCCTGGGATGGGGCCAAGGTGAGGGTAGGAGAGAAGGTGAGAGGATGGGCAGGGATCGAGGCATGGCAGGGAGAGTAATGATATACGAAGCACAACGCAATTGCCCGAAACGCTGTGCGTATTAGTGGCTTTAGGTATTGTATGTACTAGCTCTATCTATATATCCAACATTATGTGTGTGCAACTCTTCATCAATGTATGTACTTTTACCTAAATAAAAATTTGAATTTGAATTTTGAACGCAGCAAGGATCAACCAGGGCAATACTGGGCTAAGGCGGACAGAGAGACAGACGGGATAAATTGGGAGGGAGGGAGGGGAGGGAGAGGCGAGAAAGCACAGTAGAGACTGCAAGCATTTCCTGGAAAGATTGACGCCTTACATACTTCCAGGATAGGGGCCGAGCTGGGACGCCACGACCGCCGCCGCCGAGGGAGTCCCTCAAGGATAGGTCTAACCAATGGCCTAACCACGTGAGTAGAAGCCAACACGTGTTTCTGGATGCTAGGAAATTATCAAGACAATATTCTGCACAAAAGACGACTGCAGACAACTCCAAGATCTTGTCGGGCTGCAGAGTTGGGCAGAGAAATGACTCCTAGAATTCAACACCAGTAAGTGCACATTGAGAGAAAACTATCAGGAAGACACGCCACAATCAAGGAGGAACCACCTACCCAAATCAAGGAAAATTATCTTTAACATATACAACACCAAGTTCTATCCTGGAAGCGCATTAATATGATAACATCAACATATTCTAACCTGATGAACATAGGAACAGGATTCAGGGCACTAAACCACCTACATGAGACCACTTCATGCATATGCAACACCAACAACACACGAGACTTAAAAAAACGATTAGTTTGTAGCGAGGTTAAACTCATATCAATGCAAAATGAGGTATTAATAAGGACTGGAGGAACTCCACATCCATTCATCTATCTCTGATATTCTAGCAAGAGAGAGACGACACAAAATATTTAGGGATACTAACAGGATTGAAAGTAGGAAATGTTCCCAATGAATACAACGAAATATAAGTTCCTCATCTGGAGTAAGTATAAAACTTACAATGAACTACAGGAAGAGGTAGTTGAAGCAGATTCCATAGACAAGTGTAATATTATACATGACAGACATGTATAGGGTCTATACATGTGTTTATGGAGGGATGCGGGAGATCTCGCATATATGTATGTATGTATGTATGTGTGTATGTGTGTGTGTGTGTGTGTGTGTGTGTGTGTGTGTGTGTGTGTGTGTGTGTGTGTGTGTGTGTGTGTGTGTGTGTGTGTGTGTGTATGTGTGTGTGTTTACTAGTTGTGTTTTTACGGGGGTTGAGCTTTGCTCTTTCGGCCCGCCTCTCAACTGTCAATCAACTGTTTACTAACTACTTTTTTTTTTCCACACACACACACACACACACACACCCCAGGAAGCAGCCCGTGACAGCTGACTAACTCCCAGGTACCTATTTACTGCTAGGTAACAGGGGCATTCAGGGTGAAAGAAACTTTGCCCATTTGTTTCTGCCTCGTGCGGGAATCGAACCCGCGCCACAGAATTACGAATCCTGCGCGCTATCCACCAGACTACGAGGCCTCTGTGTGTGTGTGTGTGTGTGTGTGTGTATTATATATATATATATATATATATATATATATATATATATATATATATATATATATATATATATATATATATATATATATATATATATATATATATATATATATATATAATGTGTGTGTGTGTCGTACAGTACAGGGTACACCTGTACATCTCTTGCATGCCACCACGTCGTGTACCCGACTACGTACACTCCCCCTCCCACCCCACCCCCACCCCACACCCCCAACCCCACCCTACTCCCCCTCACACCCCTACCATCCTCCCGGACCCAATACTAATCGCGGTTCATTTAGCCGCTCACATAACCTCTCCAATGTCCACTACATCAATAATTGTACTTTCTCCCATGGCGGAAGTGGAGGAGGAGGTGGTGGGAGGGGAGGAAATGCATGGGTCCTCACGCGACGCTCACAAGATAAGTTGATTACCCCGTCACCATGACTCCAGGTGTCCTCACGACTGCCAACTACTCCTTCATTTTCCACAAACAGCCTCGTTTCCAACCCATTAGTGATTAAGTATGACCAAAAGTAAACTATTTCAACAGTATTCAGAAAAAAATATTGTAGGAAACTAGCTTTCGGAAATAACTTATTTCGACTTTTAAGGAATAAGTTAAAGGAAAGGTGGCAACGGTGCAGCATCCAATGACTAAGGCGATGGGAGCGCGAGAAGAGTGACGTCACGGGCTTGCGTCACACAGGTGAGGTGATCCCTCCGCCACGATGACGGCGCCGCTCCTCGCTGGTCATCTTAATGACGACCTTCAGTGGTATGGGCCGCAAGGTTGTGGGTCTGGGTCTGGGGCTCGTATGGTCGGCCACACCCCCGGCCACCCCTCCACAATGAGCCACAGAGATATTAGAAAGAACTTTTTTAGTGTCAGAGTGGTTGACAAATGGAATGCATTAGGCAGTGATGTGGTGGAGGCTGACTCCATACACAGTTTCAAGTGTAGATATGATAGAGCCCGATAGGCTCAGGAATCTGTACACCTGTTGATTGACGGTTGAGAGGCGGGACCAAAGAGCCAGAGCTCAACCCCCGCAAGCACAACTAGGTGAGTACAAGGCCCAGGCTCTACGCCGACCACTGGACCACATTGGTCTACAGTACCCACATTTCCCATGGGAGAGGGGGCTTGACAGCTGAGTAAACAGCGCTTCGGATTCGTAATCCTGAGGTTCCGGGTTCGATCCCCGGTGGAGGCGGAAACAAATGGGCAGTTTCTTTCACCCTGATGCCCCTGTTCATCTAGCAGTAAATGGGTACCTGGGAGTTAGACAGCTGCTACAGGCTGCTTCCTGGGGGTGTGTAACAAAGAGGCCTGGTCGAGGACCGGGCCGCGGGGACGCTAAGCCCCGAAATCATCTCAAGATAATCTCAAGATAGATGGGAGTTACCGTGACGAGGGGCAGGCCTCACTAACGACCTTATCCCTTTAATGACCACTGACGTATGCCCAGACAAGCCATAACACCCACCATAATTACCCACAATACCCACAATGGTCCAATAAGTGTATAGAACCAATATTTTCAAATCAGGAACTGCAGAACTAGGGTAAATGGAACTAATGTACACTAAGACATGTGACTAAGATGTGTAAACATCAAGAATGCTTCACGAGAAGTGGCAGATGTGAAAACCGGACCACGACCAGCTGGAGGCGCCAGCAGCCAGATCAAGCCAAGTGGGCCAGTTTTGCTTTTCTGGCTGTCAGATGTGAGAGAATCATCAGGGGGGGAACCGATTGCTTGATGAAGATTAAGCCACCCAAGAGGTGGCACGGGCATGAATAGCCCGCAAGGGAAAAAACGACAAGCCATTACGACTATATAGCACTTGGAATTGCTCAGGATAAGGATTAGGGAGACGACAGGGAAGGGTAAGAATGGTGCCCAACCACTTGTGGACGGTCGGGGAGTGAACGCCGACCTGCATGAAGGGAGACCGCCGCTCTACCGTCCAGCCCAAGATATGAGGTCAGAGCAATAGGTAATTTTGTGACCTTCCTGAGGATGACGATAAGCGCGCGCCTGTGACGTCAACCAAACATTTATTAGGTTAATGAGATGCAAGATGCCGAGGAAGGTTGAGGTTGCATCACCTCTAGTGATGCAACCTCCACAGCTCCTGTCCCTGCTTGACGCCACTCCTCATATCTTCCTTACTCTCAACTTCATCAAAACAAATTGTAAATATTGTTTCAACAGTAACCGAAATATTAGTGCGGGGGAGAGGGGAGAGGGGGGGGGGGGGTGGTGCCAACACGACAGGTGGAGGGGGGGTGCCAACACGACAGGTGGAGGGGGGGGGGTGCCAACACGACAGGTGGAGGGGGGGGGTGCCAACACGACAGGTGGAGGGGGGGTGTGCCAACACGACAGGTGGAGGGGGGTGTGCCAACACGACAGGTGGAGGGGGGGTGCCAACACGACAGGTAGAGGGGGGGGTGCCAACACGACAGGTAGAGGGGGGGGTGCCAACACGACAGGTAGAGGGGGGGTGCCAACACGACAGGTAGAGGGGGGGGTGCCAACACGACAGGTAGAGGGGGGGGTGCCAACACGACAGGTAGAGGGGGTGCCAACACGACAGGTGGAGGGGGGGTGCCAACACGACAGGTAGAGGGGGGGGTGCCAACACGACAGGTAGAGGGGGGTGCCAACACGACAGGTAGAGGGGGGGTGCCAACACGACAGGTAGAGGGGGGGTGCCAACACGACAGGTAGAGGGGGGGTGCCAACACGACAGGTAGAGGGGGGGTGCCAACACGACAGGTAGAGGGGGGGTGCCAACACGACAGGTAGAGGGGGGGTGCCAACACGACAGGTAGAGGGGGGGTGCCAACACGACAGGTAGAGGGGGGGGTGCCAACACGACAGGTAGAGGGGGGGTGCCAACACGACAGGTAGAGGGGGGGTGCCAACACGACAGGTAGAGGGGGGGTGCCAACACGACAG